AGCCCTTTTCCTTGTCCCATTCATGGGCATTTCTGGTTACACTGTGAACAAGTCACTCTCTTAAACCAGAGTGTAATCGTTATGCTGTTTTAAAAAAAAACATTCTTTTAACTCATGATAAAATGTCTTAAAAGGAACCCGGTTGCGGACGGTTCGAATCCCACCCCAGTCAAACTTTTCATTTCACCTTCAGACATCACCCAGTATTAAGTTAATATGTGCAAGTTTCACTACAATACATCTTTGCAGTACCCAAGTAACATTTCCTTCGCTTTACTTATTCTTGAGCTGCTGACGTTAACGCGTAATAACTTCATTTATGTGTAAACTTTCAAATAAGTGTAACCTTGTTTTGACTTCTGAAACCTACTTTTTAAAAATTCCAGCACTTTTATTTCCCAGAAAAACTGTCATTTCTATCACAGAAATTAAAACTTATGAGATTATCAGATTAACAAAGCATGGGACACTATAGAACCATGTGACATACAAGACCAACATATATGTGAATGACCGCTGATGCAGAAGTGAAGCGAATGGATTAGATTCTTTATATCATATACGATGCGTATTCCTTATATAAATGAATGCAAGGCATAGTTCTTAAAGAGTTAATCAGGAGAGTATTTTCAAGCCATGTAGTCTGAAAGCTGTCAACATTTACGCGTTATTTCAACAACTTCATTTACATTGAATGCTAACGCATTCGTCATACATAACTTAGTTTTATACAAATGCTTTAATTCAGTAGTAAGCCATTACTTTTTATCACGATCATCGATACACAATGAAAAAGGTATAGAAAGTTAACGATAATTTTCTTCCTGTTACTTATAATCTTATTTTGCCGACTGAAAAGCTTTGTTAAACTTCCGTTTTATAATATATATATATATGTCATGCAACAGACAGGTCTCAACAATATATTTCTTTTATCACTTTGTCGGATCTTCTACGTGTTGTTTTCGTAAGCCTTCAAAATATTCAATGTCATTTCATTTTCATAAAGTATCTTTTTTGCATTGGAAAAGTTAACATCATTTGGCGGCGTTAACTTCAGTGTAATAACACGTCACTCCTTGAAAAAATTCATGTAATCTCCACTGAATTCGAGTTAAATATCCCGTGATTTTTATTCTCCAAAGTGGTCTATCTTTAACATCTTATTGGCAGTGTTAGAAATAGTCGACAAGGGGGAAACGCTGTAAATTGTAACACAAAAAGTGATATTTTATTCTTGACTGACAATGGAATTTCCCATAGTAAACAGGAAACACTCTACATGTACTATTGAATCCGTATTGGTATATAAGAGTAAGTATTTACTCTCCTTTGGCAAATTATTATCATTGGATTGCATTTAAAATGCACGAATGTGAAATATTTTAAAAGTTATCTTACTGACGCATGAATGCGCTGTTTAATAACATGGAGTTGTAAGATTAACCTCCTTTTTCAGGTTGGTTTCCACCATGGACTGTCATCAGCTGGGAACTATTGGAAACCTGGGAGTGCCGGACAGCTGTCTTATCCTAGTACGGGACTCAGCAGTGCACCCCCACAACCCCGTCCCTCCAGGAATCGATCTCATGACGTTCAGGTTCTATGGTCACCACCTTACCACTGACCCACTAAGTCTGAATCAAATGATTAACATTTCCTACTTCTATAAGTTCAACCTCCATCCAATTCCGTCATTGAGTAACTGTCCTCATGTTCGACTTGTTTGCCTCCACTAGTCATGACTGGCAAATTTTGATATTACACGTATTTAAGATTGAAAATAGTTGATAATAAACCTTTGAGTGAATTAAATCCATACAACTTCGCTTCAGTTACTGTCCTGTAATCAAATTAATAGACAATGAGAAGTGTTTGAGTTTATTTCTCTTAATCGACTGGGTCAGAAGCCACAACTTCATCTAGCATTCGATATTTTCACTCAGATTCTTTCCTTTGCTTTACAATTCCGAAAATGAAAATTGAAAGCATTACAGAAAATGGTGAACCGACAGAAGTTGGGAATATTGACCTTTGGATTCCGACAGACTGGCTCACTGTTGACGTGCTGGCCATGGAACCTGAAGGTTATGGGCTTGGTCTCTGATGGTGTCACGGATGCGTACTGCTGAGGTGTCCTATGATAGGACGAAACAGCTGCCCAACACTCCCAGGTTTTCACTGTTTCTCCAATTGATGTCAGTTTATGATGGATACCAACCAGGGATCAATAAATCCGCATAAAACCCTAAACTAAGTTAAGCTCCTTTTTGTTAGTTACCTACTATTACGCAATCACAGAGGTATAAGCAAGGTAAACACTTATGCTGTTATACTACACAAAGAAAAAAAAATGGGGATCTCATATATTTATAATCCGTTGTATTATTTCCCTTACTTTTTATGACATTTTACCTATGTCTGACCACTTCGTAGATCAGTCTCAGAGCTTTTTATTGACCCCTCACTCTATTTCATACATTTTACGTTTCTGAAATAACTACACGTTAATTGAAAATAATTACTGTTCATTATTTCACTTTCTATTTATAAATCCATTCAGTCATTCTTGTGAATTATGGTACTTTAAGGACAGATAACTTCGATGTATATGTTCATGGCTCAGGTGACTAACAGACACGGATAGAGAGCATCGATCTTACATTCTAATGTGGGGGAGTTGATGGAAATCCAGTTGAAAATCGTGTGACCGCCCAAAAGTAATTTGGAGAAGTGAGACTTTGAGACCATATTCGTAATTAATTACTCTTGCAGTAAGATAAATAGGCGGATCAGAAAATCACTTTGGTTTTTCTGTTACCCACCTGCTTCGCTTAATTAACCTTATTCCTATTATCGTTGTGATCATCATTATTCATCTCAATATGCATCTGCTTTTTTTAGGATGTCCTATGTGACTACTAACTACCCTCTTCTGAATGACGTAATCTATCCTCAACCGATTCAATTCTCAACCCAGTGTCAACATTATTATTTTTAAAGGTAGCGTTGATCACGATCTAGAACTAGTTGAAGTAACACAGAAAACCTGGGGATAGTGAACAGTTATTACAAGACCCCTCAGCAGTACAGACCCACAACTCACCCAGGGATTAAAATAAGGACCTTCGGGTTTCACGACGAATGCGTTAAGCATTCAGTCACTGGGTCGGAGTTCAAAGATTCATATTTTTCTACTTTTGTCAGTTTACGATTTAGCGCGACTATCATCCAAAGTCTTCAGTTGACACCCGCTTCACTTCTGACTGGTTGATCAAGGTGGTCATGGCTTCTCATTCAAACACCAATATATCTAGCTGGATCCCTAAGAAGTTCGTAGGTGCGTAATGGTGAGGAGTCCCATACTAAGACGAAACAGCCGTGCAGTGCTACAATGTTTTCAATGGTTCACCAGTTAATATCAGTTCGTGATGAATATTACCCTAAACACAAAAGCCCCATTAACCTCAAATGAACACTGTTATTATTATTATCATCACTTTCTCAGGTGAAATCCTCAGGATTCTTTAAACTGCACTAACATCCGAATTCGCATTTGATTATGCAATCTACCTTTAGCCTATTCAATATGAAAATTCACTCCGATCTTTCACACTACCAATTCTCATTTTTTTATTGCTACACCTGAATCGATATTTCAGTCTTTTCTATACATGCACGTTCTTTGACAGTGATTAACAGTGTATATAATAAAATATGCAGAGCATCCAACTGGCCAAATACTACTGAAATTAAGGACTTCACTAAATCCTTCCTTTTCCACATTCTTTTCTTGTTTGAAAATTTAACAGAGCTCAACCAGTGGGTAGGGCGTAAGAGACAGCTGTTGCTTGTTATTGTGAGATTTTCAGCCCCTTGATAGCTAATTATTTCAGCTGCTTATTGTAATTATTATTATTTGTCCCTTGGGTTCCTAATGGAACATAGGGCTTCAGTAGCAAGTCTCCATTTCACTATGTTCTCGGCAGTCCTTTAAAACCTGGCTCTACGACAGCCCAGAAGCTCTCATTTCCTCCTCGCGCGATCTCTTCTATGTCACCCTCACCTCGGACGTCCAACTCGTCACTTCCCATTGGGGTTCCACTCGAGGGCCTGACCTAATGCGTGATGTTTCCACTGGGCCTTCTCAGTGTATGCCCAATCCATCTCCACTTCTTTCCGCATATTTGTTGAGCGATAGGTGCTTATTTTATTAGTAGGATTATTTGGCTCTTTATTAAGTGTAAAATCAGAAGGTGCCTGTAATACCAGCTTTTCGAAAGTGTATCAATGAAACACAGCTGCCTTAAATAGTTATGTTATTTGCAGAAACGTGGAACATGTATAACCATCTGCATTATGTTGTCATCGTTCAAAGTGTGATAACCAGGAAGGTATTTCTGATAGGAAGCAATCTAAGTGGAAATCAATATTCTAAATCATCAGCTGTATGGTTAGGAAAACCTCATGGGACAATTTTTATCCTACTGTTGACCAATCAGAACAATATTTAACTTTTGACCTACTGGTTTTATTTATTAATGAAAACTCTATGTAAATGATGTATTTTTGTCGAATAAACATTCTTCCTTACAGCTGCAGACCACAAGTCACAGTCTTTCACTCTGATATTTGCGTGGCACAGTGAAGTATAAAGTACTGAGAAAGAATGGCTACTGTTCATACCCAGTTCGCATCTCAGTGTGTTAGTACCGTCCGCGTATTCATTCGGTCACTTCACTACCACAAAGTGCTTAAGTCTTCAAACAGTCGCATGGAATTGTAATGACTTGGATTTCGTGAAAAACAGACTACCTATAATAATGAAATAAAGCACGTTTAGCGGCTTAACATAGGCTACTTTTGTGTAAAGAAAAAGGGATGACTGATTTGGAGACTTCCGGTTGAAACGAAAGGAGATTCGCATACCCAAGTCACCACAATCTACTTCAACGTTAGTGTTTGTTATATACTAATAAAACTGAAATACTTAAAAATACCTGTTATAATGCGCATGCGTTCCTCTGCTGTAGTTGTATCTTCGGCCAGAATAACTTCCTCTATAAAGATAAGAAAGAAAACAAAAGCTTTTTAAAAGGAATCCTGTTTGAATATACTACTGAAGCAGGATATTTCAAATATTTTTCGGCTTTCTAGACGACTTCAGTAAACCATTTAGAATAATATTAGGTCTTTTACAAATTTCAGTTGGAATATATTTGATGAGCATGTTTCAGACTGCTTTAGGTAATAAATAAACCTATTTACTTGAGGATAGTGAACGAAGTGATAATGAAGCTTCTGAATAGCAGTGTTGGTTCTGCAATTTGTACATCATTGGCTTGAATCCTACAAAGAATCTTCCCTTCATATATATATATATATATAATTCAACACTATTCCTCGACAGCTGTTGTACATTACTGTTGGAGCTATCTTAGATAGTCGTGGTTTGATAGACTAATATTAGTGATACGAAGTGATAACTGAAGGTGAAGTGGAAACGTAGGTTGCGTCAGAACTCGAACGAGTGGTCTACAGACTATCAGTTCGGTGCTCTACCAGTTGGATTACAAATAGTTCTGCTCCGTTACCTGACATCTATTCACAGATACATGAAATAGCATTCTCCACTATCCTTCAGTAAAAAAGAAGACTGTGTAAATAGCATAGGACATGAACAAGCTGACTATTTTTTGAAAACTAACTGGCTTAAGAGGCATAATCAGTCGCCTTTTTCGTGATGTTATGATAATGATTTCAAATTAATCGTAATCCCAATCAAGTTGACTACTGCAAATCTTTCTGGTAAAATAAGGAGTCATTTTAAATTACACTCCACGTATCAAATGATGATCAATTCATTACTCTTGGTTTAGACTGTCACTGGAGTCTTTCGACGGAGAAATGCTAAGTGAGTGACAGGCTAAAGATAATGACAGTTTAATTTACTTTCTCTCTAGCGTTAATCTTTGCTAGTAAGGATTTCGGAAGTCATCTAATTCCCATTTAGCAAATAAGTGAGTCAAAAGGGAGGGCTTCAATTAAATAGTGACTGACTGTCTATGCCAAAATGAAGACGAAAGTACAATTTAATATTGTAACATTCATGTTGAAATGAATATATCCTATACACAATGTTCAATCCCGTTTAAAGAGGGGAAAACATGAAAAACGTTGTTTGTATGCTCACAAATTCACAAATGATATCTCGTTTATGATAATCTGTACTTTTGAAGTAAAAGATAAGTGATAAGGTCCTCTGATTATTCAAGTATTCTACTTTTGATAAACATGAATTTATTTGGAGCAAATAAACAAAAAAAGCATCAACATTATCTTCTTGTTGCTACTTTTGGGATCTCGTGGATTTTCGCTTAACATAGTATATAAACGGTACCAGTGGGTATTATATTGAAAATACAAGTTGGAAAGTTGGATAGGGTTCACTGTAATCTTTAAGTTTTATGTTTATTGCATTTTGGAATGAAAGAATTTAAACCTAACCTTCATCTTAGATTACAAACATTCTTATATCTTTATATAAAATAATATTTTGAACACATACTAGAAACTAACCATAAGATAGACATGAAAACAGCCTTTAAAGTACTACATAAAAGTGGTCAGAGCCGAGTACTGAAATGTATTGAAGCTCTTGTCATCCGTAAATTTAAACCCCCTTTATGTATACAAAAACAATTCGTACTCACGTTGAACCTACCCTGGTAGTATTGATTCTAATTTTCATACCAAGAGTAAGGTTTTCCTTTTTTTTTTCTATCCCTTCCTATTCCTATGTTTCCTATTAACTTCATTGACCTTTTTCGTAAATTTTCACATAAACAGTTCGATAAGTTTATGTGTGATCCGATTGTTCGTAATGTATAATGCTAATACATAACATGTTTCAGATAATCTTCGTCTTCTCATTACGCTATTTAAATTTATCAAAGGCACCAGTTGCTTTAAATATTATGAATGTTTTCCAACAACTAAAGATTACCAAAACATTGATAAAAAGAATTAATCTGAACGAAGAATATTCGCCTTAGTAAATTCTCTTCAGGTTGTACTACCATAAAATGCATTTGTAATGAATGAAATCAAGCCATGTCAAGGGAAAATACATTACCAATCTGGAATGAGATTTAGGGACTATAAAGAAAACGATTTCGCTTCTTAAATTTGTCAGTATTAAGATGACATTTATGTACACATGAATAATATGATAGTGAACGAAAGGACAACAAATGACGGAGACAGGAATGATCTTTTATTTACTAGAGGTCAAGAGTGGAATAACGCTTGGACATATTGTTTCTGCATGCACAGTTCCATTTTATTGCGACAGACTCTGTTATGTTGAGCAGATGTTGGTGAGCTACACGTGGTGTTGATTTTCGAATATGATAAATAACAGGGAAAGATTTATCAACATCTACAAGATGACCAAGCTGGTAAATGTTTTTTTATCTGGAGACGCATCTGTCCAATTGTACACCTTATGTAACTGGTTCCACAGAAACAGTTAAATTGATGCATGAAAGATGAAGGATTAAGATTAATTAAGCTATCCATTAGTCTCGGATTGTGAACTGGTCGACAGCTGAATGATATGCAAAGTCGACCTTCATGAAACATCCTATTGACTGTTCTAGCTTAATCAGTTGCCCGACATTTAGAGTAAGATCGACATGTTTCAAGACGAGTGTGAATAAAGAAATGATTTGTCTCCATGATATTCTAAGTGAAAGCCGATATCCAGATTACATCATCAAAGCTAACATAAATTAGATTGGTCCTAAACGAGAATTGATCACAATGGGGAAGAAGCCGGTGTTTCCATTCTTACAATTCCAGGCAGACGCTGTAAGTAACATTCCATCATAAAGTCTGGTTAGAGTAGTCAATAGGACGTTTCATGCATGCATTTGTCGATCGGTGCCCAATCTGAGACTAATGGATAGCTTAATTAATCTTAATCCTTCATCTTTCATGCATCAATTTAACTGTTTCTGTGGAACCAGTTACATAAGGTGTACAATTGGACAGATGCGTCTCCAGATAAAAAAACATTTACCAGCTTGGTCATCTTGTAGATGTTGATAAATCTTTCCCTGTTATTTATCATATTCGAAAATCAACACCACGTGTAGCTCACCAACATCTGCTCAACATAACAGAGTCTGTCGCCATAAGATTGATCAAATCTAAACCAGAATTTATTGAAAGGTATGTTTTTAATTCAGACGGTTGTTTTTTATTAATGTCATGAAGGCTTATCTGCTAAAACGATTTTCGATAGAAAACAATTAGTTGTATCTCTTTACTATCTAGAAACTTCAAAATTTGCTGGATGTTCTATGTGGTCATTGCTTGCAGTTTGCAACAATTTCACACTCATCACTTTGTCATAGAAGCTGAACAGAACAAACGATATTGTAATAGCGTAAAGGTTTCTATTCGTTATCAATAATCGGCTTGTTTACCGATAAGGAAAGCTGTTGACTATCATTGCTTTGCAGAATTGTACAGAATTTGTGAGCTAAATTCTAAAAACTGTTATACGTTGACTAACAATACTGCTGCAAATTTATATGAAACGAAACAGCATTTTATTTAATACCTGACTGGAATCCATATTGTATTGTGTTACGACAGGAAATTACAATTTATGAAGATAAAATTGTGAAATGATTCTGTAAGTCGTAGTTTGTCAAACTTCTTTGAAAAGTTAAAATGTTAAGCCACCGTAGAAATTTGCTTCCTTTATCTATCTTATGATTTGACTTTGAAATGACTGATAAAATGCTTTTCAAACCTTGTTTTCCCTGCATTTCGTAAGTTTTAAGCTGTAATAAGATTTTTTTAAGTTTTCAATAACGTACCCCTTTTATTTAAGAAAGATATACAATTGGAATTGTATTCGCCTGTTCGATTTATTATCCATCTATGAGTGGTGAACAAATGGGATTTACGAATGGCTGGCTTTGATTAATCGCATATATGCGTAAACACATTGCGGAATTTTAAAGTTTACATCAATTTTAACAGAATTATTTCTGTAGAAAGTCAGGAGAACAAGGTCTTTAAAAACAATCAAGCATATGAATATGGAAATAGTTGTCAGGATATTAATTTTAGATTGCTGTTTGAAAGTTGGAGTCTCAAAAGCTTGCTTGACAACTTTCTGGGTAAATAAATCTGACAAATATGCAAGCTAATACCAATCACTATGCCTCTTCAGTCTGTTTAGGTGTATTACTGTCAATATTCTGCTGAAACCCGCTGTTACGTAACTCTCTATTCCGGTTTCTTGACCTATGACACTTGTCACTAAGGCATAAGTAACATTTTGTTGAAATTCATACCACCTAAGAGCCCTGAATCAGTTTGAAACAGCACTCTAGCCGAGGGTTCCACTACTACACAGCCGGTGACCCTACTTTTTTCAGTATGAAGAGATGATAGCCGTAAAATATCAAGATATTCACCTCAGTCCCTTTAATTTCCTATCTAAAAATGCGAAAAACAACTCATCATAAAAGCTTCTGCACATATTTTAGGATGTCTGTCAAATTCACTTACCGGCTTTTTGTATCCAATCCATATAGCCATTAAATTCTTTTTCTGTTTGCTGCTGTCTACGTAGCTTTAAAAATGCACGACGCTTTTCTACACGTTCTCTTTCTTTTGCGAATTCACTAAATATGAAGAAGGAACAGTATTCACTGAGATGAGTTTTAAAATAATTATACGAATTTCTAAACTTTCATTATGAAATTTCTAAATCATTGAAAATACGATTTGTCATCATTCAATTTTACAGTATGTTAATTTAGTCAGCCGTTCATCTTATCTCACTGTGCAGTGAAATGGTCGCCAATTAACTAGTCTGACTGCTTCTTTAATGAATAAAGATTTAATTCTGCGTTATCAGCACACCTTCACAATATACGCCAAAAGATTTTTAGGTGATTTTACGAAGGAAGGAAATATAGGTAGCGGTAAAGTTTTTGTTCACATAAGGTTACACAGTACACATGAGATTTAGCTTCGAAGAAGTTGACAAAATATTCAATTACATATCACATGCAGAGAAAATCCATCTTCTATAAAACTAGCAAAGTAACCACGCTTAAAATAATCAAGGCAAAGATCATTTGTATATTCACGTGTCTTTAGATAGCTCTGTATTTCTCTCACAGTACTAAAGTTAACCGCAACACTGATCCAAATCTGATATTAATGATGAGCAGTGGTTGGCAGTAGAATCCAGGATGCGCGTTTCATCCAATTTCAGACCAGTCAAATGGATGTACCTTTCTCCCAGTAAGTGGCATTGTTCCCACTAGCACTCAAACTCAGGACTGGTCGCTTCAAACGTCAAAGCATTACCCTCTATAGCAATGAGTCGCAATAACCACTCCATGTGCAATGGAAAACTATAAGTTATAATTTCTTAACTGATCACATTCTTTTGTTTTTACGCTTATAATTTTTGATTTGTCTGTAATGCTGTTGTCACTATGATGAGTTACTCGTCTAGTCTTACTGACTTCCGGTCTTATTTTTCCCATGGAAATCCTTTACCCATGAATTATGTGTGATTAAAAGTCAAATATGAGTGAAGGATATTCTTTTCAGTAACTTTTTGTCAGGTTCTACAGTTATAAAGTCAGATTCGTTAACATAGCCCAATGGTCAAATTCGCAGTGAATGCATTTTAGAATAGGTATGGAATCTTAAATTCGATTAGATTCTTGAGTTCGTTACATATGGTAAGCTACTAGACACTCTTATCTTAGCATTCAAGAACATTTACAGGCTTGGTTTGCAGTTTTATACTGGCATATTTGGTAGACACATCACACCGAGAAGTCACCGGCGTTCGTAAGACTCTACCATCTGACATTCTTTTACGCATTCTTCATATAGCTATTCTGATGGCCTGCTTAATTATTGGGCTATTGAAAATCTTCCACTGAATAAATTTTATCAAATTCTTCCGTTTATATTTGTTTTAATCTTCTAATTACGTCTTTTAAACGTACCATGTACTCTTGCACATTTTAAAGTGGTTTCAAACCGTGATTTTTCAAGCCAACAACAAAACAATGGGAAAATGTTAGGTCAGTAAGAAATGAACTTATAAATATACACAAGTGTAGTACATTGCTATTCCTGGGATACATATGCTGAATCACAGATTGTTGTGCCGGCTGAATAAACTGTCACCACCATCACCATCGAAATTCCTTTCTATTTTCTGTTCACTCACTAGTTCAGGCCGGATGCTAATGTATAATAATTATTTCATTTAAAATACTGTACAACGAATGAATTTGTTGAAATATTAAATACTGAGAATTCCACACTGTATCACACATGTTGTTTGGAACAAACCTATTATAATAATATAAGCTATTATTATTATATAGTGGAAACTATATCTATAAGAACAACTAAGCCTGAACTTTGTAGTCAAAAAACGAATACCTTCAGGCTTTAATCGCCCCTTGTCATCCACTGACTAAACAAAAATTGACGCATGTTATGGTAGTTGTAGTTGGGTACAACTAGTTTAGTTAAGGCAAATGAGACTGAATTCTATTTTCAAAAGCTTATTTGAATGTAACCACCACTTGTATTTCATGTTTGTATTGAAGATATGTGCTAATATACGAAAAGTTGAATTCATTTCAGCTTAACAGTATCAACGTGAATCTATCAAAAACGGAATCATATTATTCTTAAGAAATAAAACAAAAATATTAAGATATTTCATACAATAAATGTCTATGGGAAAACGTGTATCGATGTTAACTTCTCAAAAAATGAGAAGCTTAGCAGTTTCCTAATTTCTCTGAGTTCAAAGCATTTAACCTCAAATTAATGCATATCGATAACGTTACAGTCTACTTGGAAATAGAATAGAATCTATATTTCAGACAGATTTACAAATGAATATTTATTTATTACAAGTGACAAATATCTGTGGTCCATCTCCTTTGTGCCCAGTGTTAGGCGTTAAACATCTTGAAGCTTGTCTCAAGTTTCACGGATGTTGATATTCATCTGAAATCTTTGGGGAACTAATGTTTTCTCAAAAAAACTTGTAACTTCATCAGTCAGTCCTGAAGTTAAAAGCCTAATCATCCAGCTATTAGGTAACAACTGACGTTCTCCATGACTATGCTAAATAACCTGGTTTTCAACCCATTGGATAGACTTGGATTATAACTTAAGAAGTAACAGCCTAATCTGTTACCAGTGTCAATGAGCTGGGATTTATTTTCACTTACTCAAATATCATCCCTGAGTAAATGCTTATTTCACATAGTAAACTGGCCATATCAACTGGGCTTCAGTTTCTCATTGATTGGATCTCCTCTTAGAAATTACCAGCCACTAACCAGCTATATTTACATAACAGGGATGATTTGATCTAATTTTCAACCAATTAGTTCCCGATATTTCGTACTCCTTGTTTTAATACTTTTGCACTTGGATTGCACACTCAGAATCAAAACAATATGGTATATTGTCGATAGGCGCAAAAACTTGAGCACTGTGGTAGGATATGATTTCATATTAGATCCGTTTAATTGATATAGTACACAGTAATATAGTATGGTATGTTATCTTACTACACTTCACATAACTTTTCATAGGTTTAGTGGAGCTAATGAAGATGTATGTATTTCTTATCTGGATAAATTGGGAATAATATGGTGTGGTGTGGTTATAGAATGGGTCTATGTTTTTATTTTAATATATTCATAAAACAAATAAGCACAAGGAATTCACATGTATTTCTCTGTAAATACTTACTGTGTCTTTTTAATTATATTTCTTAGTTTTATTGCCTACTAAAGTAGTCATTTACTTAGAACTTTATTGTTATAGCCTCAAGTCAAATAGAATATTCATATCAACGGATTACTTCCCCCCCCCCATTAATAAGTAACTTATTGCTTAGATTCACCACCCAACAAATAGGTGGTACGGAATAGCTATAACTAATGTGATTTCATATTTTCATTTTCGGTTAAAATGAAACCAACTTACAGATTTACACTCTAAAATGAATGAATAATAACATTTTCATGAGAGCGCTTTGATATGTTCTTATCAATAGGAATTGTAACCTTCAGTGCACCAATGTGAAAAATTGCTAGTTTTAGTTGACGAGATAATTTATTGTTTGGGCGTGATACCACTTATTACATATTTAAAAGTGTTATACTGGAATACGATGATATCAGCGAAGCTGACATAATTCCATGGTTCTAATCACCTATAAACCTAGGTCACACATTTATCAGCGCTAGCTAAAAATGTTTTTCATACTGCTCAAGGATTTATGTTCGCTTTAAAACTTGAGTCCATCACATTCAAGATCGCTTTTAAAGATGTTTTGACGGAAGTATTTACTATTCAATAATCCCACCTCAGTCTCAAGATGAGAGATACCCTTATTATTTAGTCAATCAGCATTGGCTTGAAATCAGGTATTATAGCGTGACAGTTCATTTGCCATACCTCATATTAGCACATTAAAATATTAGGCATATGGAGGAAATGTAGAGAAATAAAAATGAAATTAATCGAAAGTGTTAAAAATTAGTCATAAAAGAACAAGAAGGGATGAACCAAGAATGAAATGCAATATGAAAGTGTGGATTAAGACAGTGTGCTTTTGGTATTGTTCCTGTGGGATCTCCAACCACTGGCGTTGAGTATCCCTTGGACTCTAACTGGGAAGTTTATATCCAATAAAAACTTCTACATTTTCCTAAATGACTCAAATCAATAGTCAAAGACTTCATAAACTAATTTCATGTTTTAATCTGATCACCTTTGACCTTTTTCTTTATTTAGCTAATAATCGAATTATACGGACATTCATACTCATGTGGTCATTGAACTAAGTAATTTACCACCCTAATAATATAACAGATCATTGGCACATAACCGGATTTAACTTCCTGTATCTACAAAAAAGACTAGGAATTACTTAGATATTAAACAGAAATAGTGTTTGGCTAAAGTTTATCTATCTGAATAAATATCAATCCCGTTTTTTAATTGGAAAATCTACTGCATCTTTTTTTATTCATCAAAGGGTCGGATAATCAAGTGATTGAAAAATACCTTCGAAGTTTAAATTGAACTGAAAGGAACTTTAACTCACCCACTCAAAACACCAAGCACTAGGTTTAGCATGAAAAATGATCCAAGTATAATTAACGGAACGAAGTATAAATAATTGAAGCGATCCCCAAATGCATCATTTGTCTATAAAATTAGAAACAAATGAAAGACGATTAGGTGTATCCGTCAACATAAGTTTATATCCTCTACTCATTTGCACATACTAAATGATACAGTTTAAAGTGTGATCGGTGAACTATAAGATGAACTTATCAGGACGTAACATACCCAGGTATATAACTTTTCTAACCTTAAAACGCTCTTTGCTGAATGGACTAGAGGTAAGTTTTGACAGCTTTTGTAATAAACCTACAACCAACTGTATCATTTACTGAGAAAATACAAATGATAATGGCAAAACTACCATACACAACAATAATTTATCCATTTGCAAATTATCTCCTAGTCTCCATGCACTTTTGTGAAGTTGCATTTGATCATAGGAAAACAGAAGACGATTGCAACGAAGAAGAAGTTCTCTTTTCGACAGGAACATTTTCTTAGCTATACATTCATGAACGTACAGTAAGAAGAATAGGAAACTCCAGAGTGATTTCCCGTCAAAGGTCATTACGTGTCAAAAAAGAAAGTTACATAATAGGGAGATAAACAAAATTATCATCTTTTCTTTGAAATTGAACATCAAAGAAATGAAATTTCAAGTTCGACTTTGCTTCTAGAATGAATTTGATAGAGCGATGAGCCCTACTGAAGGTCTGAAGCAGGTAGTCGAGAATCGTATTCTCGTTGCAACTAGTAAATTTATCATCTATGTATCTTTTGTAGATATGAAGCTGATTGACTATTTTCAATAAACTTATGTTTTCCACACTTACCATAAAACACTCAGCTAGGAGGGGTCCTGAAGGTGATGCCATTGCCATGCTATCTATCTGTTTGTAGATTACATTGTTAAATCTGAAGGGTACATTGAAAGTACGTCTGAGAAGTTCCGTTCAACAGTGGTTTAGGATATTACTGCTTAATTTGTGGGAATGAATGAAGCTACACAAAATTCATGAGACTAAAACCGTTTACACAAGTCTTCTCCATGTCTTAGGCCAAAATGAACTATCTAATATTTGGAAACAATTAATATGTGATCATGAGCGGAAGAACAGTGTCCAACTTTGCTTTAAAAATCATTAAGTTGAGAATATACTAAAGAGAATACGACAGATATGTGAAATGTCCGGTCATCCGAATTCTCAAAAAGTTTAGTTTTAGTTGAGGAAAGGGAAAAAACGGAAAGAATAAAATCTTGAAACGCATGATTATTAGTACATAGTGAAGTAGAGTGCTTACTTTTCTACAGAATGTACTGCTTCTCCTCAGAAAAACAATAATGAAGTCATTTTACAGTCCAGGATTGAATATGTATCCTGCCAAGCTTGTTCAGTCAAATGGGTTCAAAGACAAAAGTAAACCAAAAGTGGGAACTGGAGGGCCTATCTAACAAACTTGGCATCTTCGTTTACATGTTGAATCATATTAGGGTGTAAAACTGTTAGGTTATCTAAAGTACTCTTCCTGCGTTTATCAGCAGACTGATCTGGATCAAATAAACCTTGTGATGAAACTTCAATAGAAGTACTGACAATTTTCTTCATTGTTTCTACCAATAATGAAGTGATATCAGTCAGCTGACGTTTCACATTCACTCGAGAAGATATAAATGAATGTGCTGGAGCTATTTTTATTCCATTTAAATTGTCTGGTAAATCATTATTGGTAAAAGACTTACTGGAAATATTTTCGAATGAGTGGTATGAAATGTCTGAAGTTACATTTGATCCTAAGCTATGTGATAACCTTAAGGATTTGATCCATTTGAATACGTTCATATAACTGCTTCGTCACAGTTGAAGATAAAACAGCCTTGTCCGGATTACATATGAATGACTGGCTTAGTGCAAAGACGTTCTAGAAGGCTCCATTGCCGAATTCTTTCCTATCAGTATGATCTTTAAGTAATGTACATATACTAGAAAGTTTCTCATTTAATCTCCCTAATCCTTTTAGTTGAAGAGAAGACAATCCATCAAGTCATACAAAAAGTATTTCATTTGGGTAGTAAACATCAAACTAAAATTTCAGATAATATTTAGTGGTATTGTTAGGATTGTTCAACACACTATTCAAAAATATATCCTAGTCTATATTTTGACTAATGTTTCTGAGTTTAGCTGTGTTATTATGCGCATATCTCCTTAGTACAGTCTTCTAAGAATAATATGACAAAGCGCTTTTGTGTTATTCGCTATGTATTATAGATGAAACACAAAACACAGTGATCTGAATTTAGTGATAATGTTCGTTTCCAAATTTTGCATGCATTGAGTTCATTAACAAAGATGAACCAAAAAGCTAACCACGTTTTATGACTAAAAGGCATCAGAAAGTTGCAGTGGTAGAAGTTGAAACCACTTCTTATTATAGACAAAGAAATATGCAATTTGGGAAATGAGAATTCCGTGAGTTTTTGGAAGAATTTAGATAGTTCACAGTAGTTTGCAAGCAAGTACCATATAAACGTATTTATTATATAAATAAAGTTATATTTATCCAAATGCTAGGCATGACATTGGATAGTGATACAGTCAATAATGCTGTCAGCAGTAAAAGTAAAAAAATATATAATTCGACATGCACCACTGGTCTGATCGAGATACCATCACGTCTACCACACCCTTTTCTGGGACTATGTGGATTCTGATGGAATATTTTTAAGGGGACTAACCTATCACCATATAGGTTATGTAGCCAAGTTTCTTTTTATGCCATCATATGAAGATTACGATGAAAAACTAAGAATACTCCGCTTTATCCAGTAGGGGTCTGCAGTTCAACAGAACTATTCCCCGTGGAGTCATGTGATATACTTTCATTCCCTTTTAAGAGTTCATCAGTTTAATGGTTAACCTATGGTTGAAGAAAAGCGTTCTAACTCAGAACATCAAATTATGAGGGTACTGTATATCTGATATGACGTCGTTATAGCAAGGAAATATAAAATATGATGATATCCTTTAATGTTCCTTAGATGAAACAATTAAGATATTTGATCCTACGAGACAACTCGTGAATTTTTCATTAAACTGTGCTTTTTCTTATTAAACGTGAATGTAACTGATCATCTAACCTAGTTTCAATATTTTGCTTCAGAAATTTGTTTTTGCTCACCATTTTAAAACAGCATTTAAAAGTACCCATACTGCTTGCTTCTATAAGGTTCTGAGACTTGGCGCGTTACGAAAGGGATTTCCAACAAACTACAGATATTCATCAAAAACTGCCCCCTACGCTAGCTCGCTACTGAAGATCAGATCAGATCAGATGGATTGCCAGAATAATGAGAATAAGCAACAAGGTACTCTGGCTGGCTGGCTGACTGGCTGGCTGGAGACGAACCAACGAAGCAGGAACCCATCGCTCAACAAATATGCAGAAGGAAGTGGAGATGGGGATGGATTGAGCATGCAGTGAGAAGACCATTCGGGGACATCACGCGCCAGTCCAGTCCAGTCGAGGCACTCGAGTGGAACCCAGATGAGAGGCGACGAGTTGGTCGTCGGTGTCGAGGGTGACATGGAGGAGATGGTGTGAGGAAGAAATGAGAGGTTGTGGGCTGTCATGGAGCCGGGTTCGAAAGATTTCTGAGAATAGAGGTTATTGGAGACGTGCTACTGAAGCCCTGTGTTGATTAGGAACCCAACGGACCAATAATAATAAATAGTGGCTGATAAACTATCTGTTAGCTGTAGTCAAAGGAAAGTTCTTTGAAATCTAAAATTAAATATCCCCATACAAAATAGCATTTACTTCAGAATCACTCTATGTATCTTCCTCTTCATCATGATCATAGATATTTAGGTAATGCTGCTTCACTCTAGACTGAATTCTGATTAAAATCACCTGCGAATTAAATCAACAAATATGACTTGTTTGTTTCTCATCGAAGTGAGATCAGCAACTAAATATAGGATACTAGGATGAAGTTAAACAAGATATATTGTTATAGTGATCATAAATCAAGAAGAAGAGAAAGAAAAGTGAGAAGTTTTAATGTGTTTAGGAGACTTCAACAAACAAGTCTGTCTTTATATTCTTTGAAAGAAAACAGTTTTAGTGACAAATGGTCAGTTAGATACGCTACAAAACTGTGTAGGAAAGAATGTAATAAGTTTATATAAAATGATTTTACTACTGCCTAAGGTTATTTATATATTTATTCTGACCTTCCAGATTACAACATTGATAAGTTTCTTATTGTGAGAAGGAATATATGTGACAATTATCTAAACAATTTTGCTGACATTTATATATTCGCTTTATCTGCAACACACTTCAAATATTTTTGTGCACATATTTCGATGAGCGACTGAATGAGATCTGATATTGGCAAGGCACGATTAAATGGCAAAGCAAAAGTATAAAAAATATAAGAGGAACTAATAAACTATAGACAAGCAAATAAATCGATTCCAGTGACTGTATTATTCCTAGATGGCATTGTCTTAAAAATTAATTTTCGCATGGAAATGATAACAAAAATCTCTTAGTACGATGACCATCCACAAAGCGACATGGATTTGACTTCACCCGATGAACACACTAAAAATCAGATCGACTTTATCTCAATCTCAAGAAAGTGGAGACGCAGCCTACTTAACAAAAAGTCAAGAAGAGGAGCAGATATAGGTTCAGACCACTCACTATCTAGTGCAAGGAACGTTCCAAATCAAGTTGAAAGCCCTCAACGAAGTTGGTGATAGACCACAGTTCAAGTTGAACGCTCGCAACAGAAGCTGAAGGATGGAACTACAAAGGAGATCTTCACGTCAGCCATCGGAGATATCAAGCAACATTCTTGAAGGAATCTATGTGAAAGAACACTGGAACTCTTTCAAAGCTATGCGGAAAGAAAACTGCATAACCGTATTAGGAAGGAAGAAGAAAGAAGATAAGGAATGGATCTCGATGGATACATGGAAGCTGATAGAGGAGAGGAGGATGGTGAAGCAGAAGATAAACCAGTGCAAGGATGCTCAACGACTAGAGGAACTGAGTACAATGTATAAAAC